AGAAGATTTGACATGGCAGAGACCCTGGTTTGGACTTTTAGCCTCTAGAACCATGAGAAAATTAATATCTGTTCTTTAAAGCCACCCACTTGTAGTATTTCTGTTATGGCAGCATTAGGAAACTAATAAATGTAGTAGAATGTTAACATTTGTGAAACAGGATGAAGGGTTCTGGGAATATTGTGTATTATTCTCAACTTTTCTGTAAGCCTGAAATCATGTAAAAATGAAAAATTAGAAAAACAGAGCTCAGAAACAGATCCAAGTACATACAATGTATTAGTATTGATTGGCTATATAAGGGAACCACAGAAAGACCATAGATATTGTAGTCTTCAGGGAGCCAAACCCTCTCCTGGTCTTATGCAGTATCAGAAAACTGCTTCTCACTACATTTAACATTACTTTCTCATACTGCAATTCAGCGATGGGTTTTGTTTTGTTTTTTTATGACTGTCTAGTAGTATACTCTGTTATTATCTTCCTAACATTGACAACATAAAACAGTGGTTGAGAGAATGGACTTGGAGCAAGATGATCTGTGCTCAAATCCCAGATCTGTGGTTGACCCTGAGGAGGTCACTTTAAACTCTGTACTTTAGTTACCTCATTTGCAAAATGGAGCTATTTCATAGAATAATTATGAGGATTAAAAAATTAACCTATTTAAAGTAAGTGGAAGAATACCTGGCATATGACAGATATTGTGAGTTGTTATTGTTATTAGCATCATCATCAATATTTCTTGAATTTACTTGGGAGTCGGTTGGCTGTGTAGGCTGTCCAGGACCCATTCTCTACTTCTTCCTACTGGTCGAGCCACCCTTCTCCCAGATGTTGCAGGGATATGCCCTAATTATTAGTATAAAATAATCATGGAAATACACCCTCTTTATATTTGACTTCTTTAGAGTGCACTGGTGACCTGGCTATGTTAAATGAGACCTTTGAAGACAGTTTTTGGAGCTTTGGAGAAAGTGTCCTCAGGATTTAGTAGGTTATTCCTTATTCCATTGGGTGAAAGAAGGATTTTTGCTTTCTGAATTGTTCTGTTAGCACAAGTAGGTAGGTTCCTCTGGGGGCTTAGTGTGCTGCTGGGTGTGTCTAGCATGTAAAAATGTATGAAACACATTAAATTGAAGTGCCTACCTATATTTTCTTCCAGGAAAATTGCCAATTCTTATACCATTAGATTTTTTCACACCATTCCCGCTGATTTGGACTGCTTTATTTTTTGTAATGAATTAGCATCTGTAGTCGTTCGGCAAGTATCTGCTGAGTACTCTGTATGGTCCTTATATTCTTCTAATAACAGATCCTGCCTTTGTGAAGCAGAGGTGGTACATAACACAGTTGTTTTTGTTAGCTGTTGTCAAGTCAGCCCCCAACTCATGGTGACCCCATGCATGTAGGCATATAATACTCATCTCATGACTTCAGATTGATTGTTCCAGAAAAGGAGATTTAATTCAAGATGTGCCAGTGAGTGTCCTCTTAGGACTTCTGAATTGCAGTATGAGAAAGTAATGTTAAATGTAGTGAGAAGCAGTTTTCTGATACTGCATAAGACCAGGAGAGGGTTTGGCTCCCTGAAGACTACAATATCTATGGTCTTTCTGTGGTTCCCTTATATAGCCAATCAATACTAATACATTGTATGTACTTGGATCTGTTTCTGAGCTGTTTTTCTAATTTTTCATTTTTACATGATTTCAGGCTTACAGAAAAGTTGAGAATAATACACAATATTCCCAGAACCCTTCATCCTGTTTCACAAATGTTAACATTCTACTACATTTATTAGTTTCCTAATGCTGCCATAACAGAAATACTACAAGTGGGTGGCTTTAAAGAACAGAAATTAATTTTCTCATGGTTCTAGAGGCTAAAAGTCCAAACCAGGGTCTCTGCCATGTCAAATCTTCTGTGAGCCTCTCTTCTAGTTTCTGGTGTCTGCTAGTGTTCCTTGGCATTCGTTAGCATTTGTCATCCCCCTATGTATGTCTCTGTGTCTAGTCTGCTCTTTTTATAACTCAGAAGTGATTAGGTTTAGTACCCATGCTACTCTGATATGACCTTATTAATATAATAAAAGAGAACCCCTATTTCTAAACGTAAAAAAAACCAAACCCACTGCCATCAAATCGATTTCGACTCATAGCAACCCTATAGACAGAGTAGAACTGGCCCATAGGGTTTCCAAAGAGCAGCCGGTGGATTCAACCTGCCGACCTTTTGGTTAGCAGCCGTGCCTCTTAACCACTGCACCACAAGGGCTCCAGTAGACAGTCATAAAAAATACAAATGCATATAACCATGTGTTATGGAGAATTGGGAACTACATAATCCAACTTATGTAGCCACCTTATGGAAGTATATGAAGAATGTGGAAGATAGGAATATTTTTCTTACTGAGCACCAATATTCCAAGCTGCTCTCTTGAAATGAATCAAGTTATTCTTTAAACTGTGTATGTGACCTTTGCTTATATGTTACATTAAATGTGTTTATTTTGTTTATACCTATCTATCTCCATTACTCATCTGTCAGTTGGTCATGCTGTGGTGGCCTGGTGTTAGGATGATAATGGAAGCTATGCCATCAGTATTTCAAATACAAGCAGTGTCACCCATGATGGGCAGGCTTCAGTGGAGCTTCTAGACTAAGACAGACTAGGAAGAAAGGCTGGTGATTGACTTAGAAAATCAGCCAATGAAAACCTTATGGATCACAACAGAATAGTCTGATACAGTGCTGGAAGATGAGCCCCCTAGGTTGGAAGGATCATAATGATAGTGCAGGACCAGGCAATGTTTTTTTTCTGTTATGTATAAGGTCACCATGAGGCAGAGCCAAGTCAGTAGCAACTAACAACATCTTCTGTCTGTCTACCTATCATCTATCCATCTTTCCTTCCTTCCTTTCTCCCTCCGTTCCTTCCTTCCCTCCCTCCCTCCTTCCTTCCTGCATTGGTGACCCTGAGACAATACAAAAGGATATAGAAAATGTTGTTTGGCTTCTTTTAAAAGAAGCAGGTCAGTAACAAAGGCTTTTCCTACATGTGTCGTAAGGCAGCAGGAGAAAGACAATGTGGTATGGCACTTTGAACTTCAGTTATTTCCTGGAAAAGGTCTGTTTATTAACATGCATGAGGCAAATTGTAGCTGATATCAGAATAGTTATTAAGCAAGGGGTACATAGTTCCATTATAATGGTTTTGAGTTCCTATATATATATCAAATAAATACCTGTTAAGTGGCATGCACATACTCACATAAACAGTAGAGAACTCATGAAAATATTTACATACATTCAATGCTGCTATTTAGATTATGCAATTTATTTCTTGTTCTTTATAGCACCTTATTCTAGTAACTGTCTATGACTCAATATTGTTTTTACTTCATAAAATATTTTGATATTTCATGTGGAACAAGAATTTTGATATTACAATCTTTAGATAAAGGCTGTTACTGGCATTTCTCAAATTGATAGATTTATCCATTAGAACAACCTCTGAGATAATAAAGCTTGATGATTTGTTGAACACTTTCACACACAAGACTCAACAATCAAATATTCAGTGGTATATCTTTTAATTAATTAATTTATTTTGGCAAAAGACTTTCTATATGTGTTCAAATGTTGGATTTCACCCCTGATATTTATCTGATTAATAATGAAGAATAATTGTAGACAAAAGCCTATAGTCATTCAGGATGTTGTCAGGGGTTTCTGCTATATGACTTTTCTGATACACATTGAGTTCTGATGTCTCACAGAACTCATATCCATTGATATTATTAACTGAAGGATGGTGAATATATTTCAGTATCAAGTACACTCAAACCTGAGGAAGCTCAGTAGCGAACAAGTTATTTACTTGGGCAGAATGTCCAAATGTGCACATGGAGGAGAAAAATCTGTTTATCACATTCTTGGATCCTTGCTCCTTCCATCTTCAGTGCATGAGTCACGAAATTGCTGTGGGAGTAACCTCCAGTCCATTCTGATGAAGGACAGGAGAAAGCATTGAGATATTGAGGGATGTCTTCAGTAAAACCTGTTTGTCACTGAGCCCCACATCCCAGTAGCCAACGTTAGTGATATGACCCAACTTGGATGGGTTGAAAAATTTGGAGTCGGTGTGGCAGATGTGTAGGAGATGAGGAAATTGTTTGGTGAACAATTACTAATTATTATATGACATATGGGGATTGCCCCTGTGTTAAGTCAAATTGAGGGGTGGCATACAGAAAGATTTCCCACATCTATTAGCTTTGTAAAGTTTTTTCTTCTGCGTTTTGATATATTAGGACGTCTCTGTGTTTGTGTTAGGTGCTGTCAAGTCAGTTCTCACTCATAGCGACCTTATGTATAAGAAAACAAAATTTTGCCTGGTCCTGTGCCATTCTCATAATAGTTGCTATGTTTGAGCCCATTGTTGTGGCCTCTGTGCCAATCCATCTCATTGAGGGTGTCTCTCTTTTTTGCTGATCCTCTACTAACGAAGCATGATGCCCTCCAGTGATTTGTTCCTCCTGATGACGTGTCCAAATAAGTGAGACAAAGTCTCAGCATCCTTACTTCTAAGGAGCATTCTAGCTATATTTCCTCTAAGACAGATTTCCGTTGTTCTTCTGGCAGTCCATGGTATGTTCATATTCTTCGCCAGCACCACAATTTGAATCCATCAAGTCTTCTTTGGTCTTCCTTTGTCATTGTCCAGCTTTCCCATGCATATGAGATGACTGAAAAGACCATGGCTTGGGAAAGATTCACCTTAGTCATCAAAGTGACATTTTTGCTTTTCAAAGATTTTAAAGAAGTCTTTTACTGCAGATTTGCTCAAAGCAATACATTGTTTGATTTCTTGACTGCTGCTTTCATGGGAAGGAGCCCTGGTGGTGCAGTGGTTAAGTGCTTGGCTGCTAACTGAAAGGCTGGCAGTTCAAACCCACCAGCCACTCCAAGGGAGAAAGACATGGCAATCTGCTTCTGTAAATATTACAGCCTAGGAAACCCTATGGGGCAGTTCTACTTTGTCCTCTAGGGTCGCTATGAGTCAGAATTGACTCAACAGCAACGGCTTTTTGGATTTTGGTTGCTTTCATAGGTAATGATTTTTAATCCAAGTAGAATGAAACCTTTGACAACTTCAATTTTTTCACTGTTTATCATGATGTTGCTTATGGGCCCAGTTACTAGGATTTTAATTTTCTTCATGTTCAGGTGTAATTCATACTGAAGGCTGTCGTCTTACCTTCATCAGTAAGTACTTTAAGTGGTCTTCATTTTTGGCCACTATGTATTTCTTGTTGTACTGAGAAAGTTGGCTTTTGGCTAAAGAATAACCAGTAAACAGTTGCCATCATGTCGATTTTGACTTATGGTGACCCCATGTGTGTCAGACTACAACTGTGCTCCATAGGGTTTTCAGTGGCTGATTTTTCAGAAGTAGATCACCAGGGCTTTCTTCTGAGTTGCCTCTGTGTGGACTTGAAACTACAACCTTTCTGTTAGCAGCTGAGTACATTAACTGTATGAACCACCCAGGGACTCCACTGGCTAAGGGTTACCAGATGTTCATTACATTTTTGGTGTGCTGTGTGATTTCTCTGATGATGAATGAGTTTTGATGGCTGTCAAGCAGTTTTCACATCACTTCTCAGAGTTTTTCTGCAGTGTGAGTATTCTAAGTATTGCGTTCACACAGACTATTTCCCATATTCGTTATAGGCATTCTTTCTTGGGTGAACTGACTTATATCCAATAAGGACTGTACTCCGGCTGATAGACTATGCATATAAAATATATTTCAAGAATTTCTCTCCTTTGTAAGTTCTCTGATGTTTAGTGAAAGTTGACATCCTGCAGAGGAAGTGCATTCATTATATTAGGATTTCTCTCTTGTGTGTATTCTCTGGTGTATTGTGAGGCTTGATTTCTAGCTCAAAGTTTTCCAATGTTCTTTATATTCATATTTTTAACTCCCTGTGTGGGCTTTCTGATGTTCTCTAAGACTTGATTTCTGGCTGAAAGTTTTCCCACATTCACCACATTTGTAGGGTCTCTCCCCTGTGTGAGTTCTCTGATGTACTCTGAGGTTTGATTTCTGGCTGAAAGCTTCCCCACATTGGTTACAATTATAGGGTTTCTCTCCCGTGTGAGTTCTCTGATGTTTTCTTAGGACCGACTTCTCACTGAAAGCTTTTCCACATTCATTACATTTATAGGGTTTCTCCCCTGTGTGAATTCTCTGATGTCCTCTGAGATTTGATTTCTGCCTGAAAGATTTTCCACAGTCATCACATTTATAGGGTTTCTCCCCAGTGTGAGTCCTCTGATGTACTCTGAGGTTTGATTTCTGGCTGAAAGATTCTCCACACTGATTACATGTATAGGGTTTCTCCCCTGTGTGAATTCTGTCATGTCCTCTGAGTTGTGATTTCTGACCAAAAGCTTTCCCACACTGATCACATTTATACGGTTTCTCCCCTGTGTGAGTTCTATGATGCTTTCTTAGGCCTGACTTCAGTTTGAAAGCTTTCCCACATTTATCACATTTATACGGTCTTTCTCCTGTGTGAATTCTCTGATGATTCCTTAGGCCTGACATATGGCTGAAAGATTTCTCACATTCATTACATTCAAAGGGTTTCTCCCCTGTGTGAAGTCTCTGATGTACTATAAGGATTGACTTATAGTTGAAAGCTTTCCCACATTCATTACATTCAAATGGCTTTTCCCCTGTGTGAGTTCTCTGATGTATTCTTAGGCCTGACTTTGTACTGAAAGCTTTCTCACATCCATCACACTTATAGGGTTTCTCTCCTGTGTGAGTTCTTTGATGTTTTCTTAGGCGTGACTTCTCACTGAAAGCTTTCCCACATTCATGACATTCATAGGGTTTCTCACCTGTGTGAGTTTTCTTATGTACAGTAAGGTATGACTTCCTAGAGCAGAATTTCCCACATTCATTACACTGGTAGGGTCTTACCCTTATGGGAGTTCTCTGATGTACTCCAAAAGCTGATTGGTTGCTGAATGTCTCTGTATATGTGTTATAATCAGAGGATTTCTCTGCTGTGTGAGTTCTCTGATGCACCGGAAGGATTGAATTATGGCTGAAACCTTTTCTATATTCAAAGAGTTTCACTCCTATATGAATTTTCTGGCATTCTCTGAATTTTTTTCGATATTCAAGGGGTTTCACCCTTGTTTGAGTTTTCTGGTGGTCTCTAAAGTATGGCTTTTGGCTGAAAGTTTTCCCTGCAGTGTCAGTTCTCTGAAGTTGAGTGGTCCTACTGAAATTTTCATATTCATTAAAGTCATATTGATTCTTCTCTGTATGAATGCTCTGAGAAACATTAAGAGTTGATTTATCACACAGGTTTCTTCTAAAGTTATTGTACTTATAAAATTTCATTTTTTTGTGGGCACTCTTAGATGTAATAAGGGCAGCTTTCTCAAGGAAAGCTTTCCCATGTTCATTATATTCAAAAGCTTGTCCCAATGTCTGAATTGTATGAGGCTGAATAAGTTCTTCCATATGACTAAAGCTTTTTACATTTTTATAATTACAAAATTTCTCTCCAGTATTAGTTCTGTCATCCTTAATAGTGAGAAGCCACTTCTCATATACATTAAATTCATCAGCCTTTTCAATTGAATTTTTACAGCGTGAGGACAATGACCTGAGACCCTCGTAAGGAGGCCCTGTAGTGTCACATTCACAGGGTATTTTTCTTGAAGCAAAAGTATTTATACCCGGATTACATTGCTTTCCTGAAATGTTTTCTTGCTCTGTAGGTAGTGTTCTGTTGGTGAATAAAACTTGCCACAGATGTTTGCCTTGGTTTTCTGGTGTCTTCTCTAAGAGTTCATCATGTTGACAGTTTTCTAAAAATGAGAAAATGAAAAATACTTTATGATGCTTAACACTTCTTATGGGATGAGCTTATATAGCCCCTATTATGTATTTGACTCCTTGGTTTCAACAATAAAGTAATTCCAAGTGTAGATTCTCTGTATTTCTTTTCTTTGTAAAAAACAAGCAAAACAAAGAAAGAAAGAACCTTTCTGTGGTGGAGAAAGGGAGAGGAAGCCTAAAATGAATATACATATGTAATTTGTAAATGTCTATATAATTGGGTAGAGAAGAGTATGTAAAGAAAATGAACAATGAATTAAGAATGTAGGATATTTGAGAGAGTTGGATTCTGGGAATAAGAAAACCAGTGAATGGGATGGATTCAACAAGGAATATAAACATTAAGTAGAATGACAAGGAAAATCAGTGGAGAAGGGCTTACAGGGAGATATCAGGGACAGGGTTTTGATTAGGGTGGAACATCAGTGTCTAGATTCTTACCCAGTCGCATATAGATAACAATGGTAGAATACCTGTAAGTCTATGTGCATCCAGTTAGAGTTCCTTTTTACATTCTACGCATCAAGACCAAAATAAATTTATAATTGCACCGATTTCCTCACATTAAAAGAAATAGTTCAATAGGCCACGCTTTAATTCTCCCTGTAGTATCATTCACAGGAATACAGCTGTACAAGTGGAAGTGTAAAACTGATGGAAGTAAAGTCATTTTTTTCCACTTGGATTCACTGCTTTATCCTGAGTCTGGTTGCTTGGTTTATTATATCAGGGTTGTTTAATAGTGAACCTCTCTGGACCATCAAATTTTAACTTTCCTCCTACAATCTGCTCACTAATTTCCCCAAAACCAGTATTGCCCCTTGTGTGAGACAGAGAACTTGGTTTGCCCTTTGTCTCTGGTTTCTGAAAATAGTCCTTGGAATAGCCCAAGCAATTAAGGTGCTTTTTGTTTCCCAAAATAGCCAGGCAACACTTAAACATGTGTAAATAAGCTGGCTATACAGGCCCCACTTTGGCAGGACACAGGCCCCATCTTGGCAACAGGCCTAAGGAAGGTAGGGCATGATGCAGTCAGTCATACATATTCACTGATTGGATTGATTATAACTTTGCATTAAGGCCCCAGTCATGCATATTCATAGAGGTTCCAATGACTAAGGGACCCTAGGACCTTGTAGCTTTCTCTTTCTGGCTTCCAGAGTTGGTGAGAACACCCATACGTGGAGGAGAGTGTGGCATGTTCCTGGGGACAGTGTCTCCCAAGACGTTGCCTGATGCATTTCTTCACTTGTATCCTTTCTGGTTATAATAAATGGGTAACTGTAAATATAGGTAATAGTCTCCAAGAGTTTTATGAGTTGTTACAGAGAATTAATGAACCTACAGGTAGCAATGACCCAGCAGGGGCTCGCAGGACAGAATCTTAACTTATGAAGACACCAGCTCTGGGTGGCTGGTGGTCAGGGAAAGTCTGCAGGGGTAGTTGATGAAGGACTCAGTCCTTCTAGCTTGTGACCTATCCCCAGGGGACTAGAGAGAGGGATAGGGGCTGGCTGGTCAGAAGTGCAGGGAATCGTACTCCTGAGCCTGTGGATGGTACCTGATGGCCTGGCCTCAGGTAGCCAGGGATGAGATCTGACCTAACTCTGGGTGGTTAAGGTCAGAGACAGGAAGTGCCACAGAAGTGGCTAGCAACCAGGAAGTGATAAAGGTGGGGTTTTCCCACCGTGCTCCTTTAATAGTGCAGTTAGCAACATCATTACACCCCTGTCCAATCCTTAATTCTGATTCCCATCTACTTTTCAACATTTTTAGTTTTTACTGACTATGAGAACCTAAGGATCATATGTTTCAGCCTGGTCTCAGAAACTTTACAAGCATCTTTCGTATTTATTGATCATAAATTTCTTGTATTTGTCTGTTATTGCTCTGCTGCTACCTATATCCATCCCATACAATAATGTGAGGCCTATGCTAAAAACATTTGAAGGCCTTGAGTCCACTACCCTAAGTATGAACAGATAAAAGACTTAAGTTGTGATCACCAACTGCGTCCTCATGACATGTTCTAGCTACCATTCCACTAATCCACAGTATTTTCTGCTCTAGTCTTGACAGGCTATCGGTCCTTGACGAATAATTGTCCATCTCCAACTATAATCTTGTACTCACACTCTTCCCCTAAGTTATCCTGAATTCCATCCTTAACACTACTTAGACTCTAGATGCCCTTCAGAGCAACAGTATTTTCCAAAAGCTTAAAACTAAGAAATGAACAAATAAACAACCTCACAAAGGCTTCCTATGTCTTTCCACTAATTTAAGCACCATTAATTTTTAAATCTGAGAGAAGTTACTGCCTGTATCACTTATTGTTACAGCAGTGGATACATGAGACACATTTTTTTAAAGCAAATTACCATCACTGAAATTAGGATGATTTTAAATTGTTGGCATGTCCATAGTCAAAGGAGCAGCATTTTCTCTTTCTTGGTTATACTTAAGATAATGGTTCACCTCTTAATCAATAGCATATTAAATGATATAAAATATTTTTGATGCAGCTTTGCTCTCCTTTGCAAAATACAACTCTCATTCTGATTTACTTTCCACCCCTTTGTGGCATAAATTAAATCAGTGGCCCTTAAAAAGCAGCAAGCAACATAACTACCCAGAGAGCTCTTTCACACACAGGGGTCAGACCTAATGTCAATCTATATCTGATGATTGAAAAGTTCCAGAAATTTGACTTGTGCAGTTCCCTTTAAGAGACAGTGTTTTCTGAGTGAATCAATATGAAATACACCTCCCACTTGGCTTTCAAGTCAATCTGATAGCCAACAGCAGCCAGGAGCTGCTTGGTCATTGTCAAGCAAGACGTGCTCCTCTGTTCATTAGCAAACAAACCTTAGGTGATGGCGATGGGTGCGGCTTGCCGCCTCCTGTCCATTGCCCTCAAAGAGCTGAGTGTGGCTCAAGCCAGTCAAACCCAGTTTACTAGCCTACATGACAAGGAAAAACATGCAATTTGTCTCACTGCACGTGTGCACCATGATAATCTATCTAGTCCATAATGTTTGTATGTACTTCCGTGTAAGAGACGGTATAAAAGGTTCTGCCTCCCTTTTTTCGGGGAGCTTGATTTGAGGTATACACCTCCTTGCTCCTTGCCTGCATGCTTGCAATAAACGCTCTTCCTCCCTCCTCACCTCAGTGTGTCTTTGTTGACAAGAAGCTGCACCGAGCAAGACCTGCTTTGGGTAACAAATCCACAACATAATTATAAAATATTTATTATATATTACAAACCAGAGATCATTGTTTTTGGTGAATCTAGGTAAGAAAAGGCACTCATTCAATAAATGTATGCTATTGGGCATACAGTGTATTAAGTCTCATTTTCTTCTGACATATCCATCACATGTTGAGATTTTATAAAAGAGAGAAATATATAGGTTAAAGTATTCCAAGATCATTTTATAGAGATGGGAATCTGAGCCAAACTTAAAATGAGTAATTACAAAAACAACAACAGTAGTAAGCTGCTCCCATGTTTCAAACATACTAAGAACATGAATTATTTGAATTATTTCAGAATTTATATAGGGAAAGCATACATTGATGAAGAGAAAATGTCATGTATCAATGACATTTGAAAAGACTGGCTCAGATGGCATTTGTCATAACCATAGACAAAAGAAAGAAAGAAATCTGAAAACGTAAGATGGGGCCATAATGTGGTAGTCACTGAAATATAAGAAATTTAAATTTCATATATTAAGTAATAAGAGGCAACCACAGATTTATTTTGTCAACCTACAGCAAGATGAATTGGATACTTAATGTAAAATTGCTAATTAGGAATTAGAAAAACATGGCAAGAAGACAGCAGGGTTCTAGTTTTGGGTGATGTTAGTAGACAGCTGAGAATACAAGAAGTGAGAATATAAAAAGATCCTGTAACAAAAGGAAGTAACATTAGAAAACACGGAAAGACCAGTAAGAGAGGTTAACAGTGACTTCAATAGGTGTCCATTATGGGAGGAGAAAGATAGTAGAGCAAGATAACTAAAGTGGAAGTGGGAAAAGACCAAAGGATTTTGATTTATGAGAGAAAATTTAGTTTTTATTTTTGCCACATTAAAAACAAAAGGACTCCAGTAGAGATCCTGAAGGCATAGGAAATGTGGAATTAGAGTAGAAGTGGGACAAAGTATGTAGAAGTAACAGTTTGGTCATTATCAAGATACAGCAAAAAAGCTTATATTGTGGGGATGGATGAGGTATTGAGGGAGTTACTATGTAGGAAAAAGAGTAGAACAGATAAAATAGTATTCAGAGATAAACACATTAGAGGAAAAAGAGCCTGGGAACCTAAATATATTCACTTAACGTCATCATAGACCTATTGTATGGCTATTGTGTTTTAAGCACTGGGGATGCAATTTTAAACAAGGCAGACTAGATGTAAGAGCTGATGAGTGCTTTCACAAAAACATAAAACAGAGGAAAGGGAAAAATGGACTGCTTTGAGATGAGAAATGCCAATTTCAATGGGTTAGTCATGGAAGGCCATACCAATCAGGTGATGCTAATAACAAGATCTGAATTCTTTATCAAAGAAGCAAATCATTTGTAGGGTATAGCTGTAGTACACATCACCTCCTGCTCACTGGTTTGTCTCTCTTTTTTCAAACGTGAAAACTAACATAAACGTGCATAAAACTCTTCTATTTCAACAAATGGCAGAGGGTGAACACCTATTGTAACCACAATTCAGGTCAAGAAAGACAAAATGACTGGCTATGAGAAATCCCGTGTATTCTTGAAAAAAACTTCTTTCATGCTTAGAGGTCTCTCATAAAATTTATAGCAATCACTTCCTCACTTTTCTTTATAGTGTTACCACCTGTGTACACAACCCTAAAAATATAGAATTTACTTGTAGCAGTTACTTTAGATGTTATCATACAGCTTACTGTATTCATTGTTGTCTTGCTTCTGTGCTCAACACTGTGAGATTCATCTATGTATCTGCTTGTAGCCATATACTGGTATATTCTCTTGTCTGCCTAATAATACTCTTTTAAATAAATACATCACAATTTATTTCTTCATTTGTCTGTTGATGGGCATTTGCCTTGCTTTCCTTATGGAGAGTACACAGCTTGAAGCCAAATCGGCTGAAATGGGGTATGAATATTATCTTTACTAGATAATGCCCACTGATTTCAAAAGTGATTGCACAAGTTTCAAATCCACAGCAGTGGATGAGGGTCTCTGATGCTCTACATCCACACCAACTCCTGATATTGTCAAGACTCTCAATTTCTGCCAGTCTTATAAATGTGTGGTGCCATCACATTGTAGTTTCATTCTGCATTTCTTTCATTACTGATGAGGTTAAATACCCTTTCATCTGTTTATTAGACACTTGATTTCCACTGGGGAAGTTCCTTATTAAGCCTTCTGCCCATTTTTTTCTGCTGGATTGCCTGCCTTTTTCCTCAAAGATTTGCAGATGGTCTTCATAGAATCTGAATACTAGTCCTGCTTTATTCTGCTTCTCTGTGGCTTTTTTTTTCAATTGCTTTAAGATGTTAAGAAATTCTGAATTTTAAAATAGTCAAGTTAATCAATCTTTTCTCATACAGTTAATGATTTTTGGTCTTAAAATTTTCCCTACCCAGAGTAATAAAAATTTTGTCCTACATTTCATTCTTAACTATTTAGTTTTGCCTCATACAAGCAAGCCTTTAATCCACCTAAAATTGATTTTTGGGTGATCATGTAAAGCAGGGGCACAATGTCATTTTCCAGGCTTTTTCAGTATTGTGCAGTGTCACTGTTGTCATAAATCAAGTGTCATCAAAGCATTTTTTCCTTTTTTCGGTGCTCCCTAGTTCCATTGGTCTATTTAATTATCTCTATACCAGTACCATTTTGTACTGGTTATAACAGTTTTAAAATATGCCTTAATTCCTGGTACAGAAAGTCCTCCCACCTTGTTTTTGCTCTTTTTCAAACACGTTTTAGTTGTTATTGGACCTTTCTATTTCCATACAAGTTTTAGAATCAGCTTTTTAAGTTTCACCAAACTGAATGGGATTTTGTGGGTATTACATTGAACATATAAACACATTGGAAAGAATTGAGAGTTTCAACTGGAGTATTCTGATCTATGAACATGATACATTCCCTCTATTTTAGTTGTATTTAATGACCCTCAAACTTTTCGAGAAAAATTTTGTTTAGACATATTACATGTCTTTCATTATATTTATTTCAAAATACTTGCACCACTGTATTGCTAGGTATATCTGCATAGTTAGTTCTTATATAGTGCCTTTTTCCCTTTTTCTAGCTGAGGTTAGCTATTTTATTTAATTATTTTTATTCCAAGAACTACCTTTGGCCTTATAATTTATACCATTATAGTTTTATGTTTATTACTCCTCTTGCTTTGCTTAGTTTTTCTTTTCAAACTTCCTTGCATTTTAAAACAAATACATGGGACTAAAATTTTCCTCTATGCACTGTTTTATCTATAGCCCAAAGGTTCTAATATACATTTTTGTTTTTATAATTTTCTGGATATTACACAATTTTGATTTACTCTTTAATCAAACAGGGTTTTAAATATATATAAATACATATATATATTTGTTATTGATTTTAAGATAGAAGGATTTTAATTTTTCTGATATTGTGTCTAATAATATGCTTAGCTCCCATCTTTTAAAGATAAGGAAATCAACATGCTTACATTCCGTCTCTTTTGTTAGATTTTCCCTTTTCACATTTTATTAGATCTATTATTTTTAAAATTCCAAGACAAAGGGCTCTAAAAAAAAAAGTGCTGAAAATATTTCAAACTGCCTACCTCTAGCTGATCACTTTGGATTTAATTTCCCCTAGGTATCTTCTGCCAGTGTGTAATAACTTACCTGGGGTGCTCCTGTTTAGAAATTCTTCCTTTAATAACCATGGATCTTCTCCTTGTTCCAATCTGAAGATCAGTTCTGGTTTTGTAAAGCATGACCCTGTAAATGGGAAATAATTTAGGACTTGAGTGAGCTGCCCAGGCTTCATTGTTTCTGAAAGTGAGGGAATATACAGCTTTAGAAGCAGTATGTTGAAAATGCCCATTTGACCCTTTTTGGAGAGAAAATATTTTCTTCTTTTCAAAAAGGACCTCTCTCCTTAAAACCAAGAATCACAAGCCTAAATAACATTAAATTCTAATAAAGGTCAACATGTTCAGTTTCAAAGGGATTTAATGGGGATGTCCATTTCTGGATAGGATGGAATAAAAGGAACTGACTTACTCCTCCATATTAGACATCTAAAAAACCATACACAATATATGAAACAGCCATTCTTAGACTTTAGAGAACAGGGAGTAGAGAACAAAGATAGTTAAGAACATGTAAACAAATAAGGTGAAGCCTATGATTAACATAGCTTACTGTTAATCAAAAGATCAACATTAGTCAGAGCCGACTCAATGGCAACTAACGACAACAACATGGTATGTTTTCTGAATAAACAAGCATTAAATTAGAAATTAATAATAGTAAGACATTTTTTAAAAGGCCAAATATTTTAAAATTTAAAAGCATGTCTCTACTCTTCCTGGTAAGTACAGCTAAAAACTCTAGACATTATAGCAAACGTAAGAAACAAACAATAAGAAGACACTGAGAGGAGGAGAGAAGGCAGGTTGGCTAGGGACCTCAGGACTCAAGGAATGACACAGTGGTAAATTCCATGGGTCTTCTCTGGCTTCATATAGGATATATCCCAGACTAGAGGATGAAGAAGCTGACAACCTGAAACACCAACATGCACAGACAAAAAAGGCCCCAAGAAAAGCTTGCTCTTTCCAGCCAAAAGACCAGGAAAAACACAGCCTAGCAAGAAAGAAACCTTTCAGAAAATAACTGCTCTACTCCAGCCAAACAAGATTTAAATAAGATCTGGAGCCTTATAGTGCTCAAAATTCTTGGATTCAGTCAAAAATCACTTGTCACATACCAAGAACCATGAATGAGAACAGACAATAAACAGAGCCAATACTGAGATGTTAAAATTATTTGATAGGGATTTTTTTCCCCCTCTGGTGAAAATATACATACCAATACATATGCCAACAAAACTTCCACATTTAAAATGCAACGACATTGATTACATTTCTCATGCTGTACCATCATTATTAGTATCCTTTTCCAAAACATTCCATTACCATTAACATAAACTCAAAACCCTCCAGACAAAAACTCCCCCTTTCTCTCTCCCTCTCACCCTTAATATCCATTAATAATTTTTGGTTTCCATATATTTGCTTATTTCATGTAAGTGGTATCATACAGTATTAGTCCTTTTGCAACTGACTTATTTCGCTCAGCACATTTTCAAGGTTCATCCATGTAGTGGCATGCATCAAAACTTCATTTATCTTTATGGCTGCATAATATTCCATTGTATGTACGTACCACATTTTCTTATCCATTCATCTGCTGATAGACATTTCAGTTGTTTCCACCTTTTGGCTTTTGTGAAAAGTGCTGCAGTGATCATTGGCGTACAGTTTCTGTTTGTGTTCCTGCCTTCACTTCTGGGTATATACCCAGGACTGGGATTACTGGGTCACATATTCAACTTTTTAAGGAACCACCAAACTGTCTTCCACAGCGGCTATACCATATTACATACTCACCAACAATGGATGAGGGTTCCAGTTTCTCCACAACCTTGCCAACACGTGTTGTTTTCTGCTTTATTTTTATGATCATTGCCACTCTAATGAGGTGTGAGGTGATAATTCATTTTCATTATGGTTTTGATTTGCATCTCTCTAATGGCTAGTGATACTGAGCATCTTTTCATGTGCTTATTGGCCATTTGAATTGGAATATTGTCTCTGGTGAACTGTCTGTTCAAGTCCTTTGCCCATTTTCTGATTGGGTTTTTGGTCTTTCTGCTGTTAAGCGGTAGAAGTTTTGTACATTTTTTGGATATTAGGCTCATATCTGATATATGGTTCATCCATGTTGTGTCATGCATCAGAACTTTCAATCTGTAGGTGGCTTTTAATGTATGAATGTATTTAATTTTTATAAAGTCCTATCTATTTTGTCTTTTGCTGCTGTACCTTGTGTTAGGTTTCACAGCCTAACCCCTACCTTTTTCTCTAAGAATTTTATGGTTTTAGTTTTCACACTTAGGTCCTTTATCCATTTTGAATTTTGTGTGCGTGTGCATGTGTGTGTGTGTGTGGTGTGTGTGTGGTGTGAGGCATGGATCCTGATTCATTCTTTTGGAAATGAAGTGGAAAATACAGTTTTCCCGGCATCATTTTTAACAATACTCTTCCTTTCCCATTGAAGGACTTAGCACCCTTGTCAAAAATCAGTTGACCACAGATATACAGATTTATTTCTGGACTTTCAATTAAATTCCATTGGTCTATATGTCTATTATTATACCAGTACCAAGCTGTTTTAACTGCTGTAGCTTTGTAGTATGTTTTGAAACCAGGATTGAAAGAGATTTTAAAGCAGCCATCATATAAATGTTTAAACAAGCAACACTGAACATGACTGGAGCAAATGAGAAGAAAAATAAACAGAAAGTCCCAGTCAAAAAGGAAAATAACAATAAAAAAAGCAAAGAAATATAAGATATAAAGTAATAAAGTGGAAATTTCAGAATCGAAACATAACCAAAGTAAAAACTCAATGGATGAGATCAATAGTAGAATGGAGAGGACAGAGGAAAGAATCACTGAACTTTAAGATAAAACAAAAACAAATTCCCAATCTGAACAGACAGAAAATAGACTAAAGCCAGGACTTGTGATACTATAATAAATGATTTATCCTTTGCATCACAGGAGGCCCAGAGGAGAGGAGAAAGAACTCAAAGAAATAATGGCTGAATAAATTAGTGACTGACAGGGGTTATGGATGGTGGTGGTTATTGGCATGGGGGAGCTGTAACTATAAAGGGGTAGGACAAAGGAGACCTTTGTGGTGATGGAATTGTTCTCTATCTTCATTGCAGTGGTGGTTACACAAATCTGTACATGTCACAAAATGACACTGAGCTATACATATATGTTGTGCCAATGTCAGATTACTGATATTGATACTGTACTAAAGTTATGTAGGATGTAACCATTGGGGAAAATGGTGAAGGATACACAGTATCTTTCTGTACTATATTTTGCAACTTCTTGTGAATATATAATTATTTCAAAATTAAAAGTTAAATAAAATGGAAAAAAATGCATACAAAAATCAAACATCTACATAAGCAATTGTTCAAAGAAAATCAAAGGGAAATAATATCTTGAAATAAATTGAAAATGAAAGGATAGCATATCAAAATCTGTGCGATGCACCTAAAGAAATTTTAGATAAAAACATGTCAATTTAAATGCTTATATTAGAAAAGAAGAAAGGTCTCAAATCATAACCTAGGCATCCACCATAAAAAGGCAGAAAAAGGGTGAAATGAATCAAAATTAAGTAGAAAAGGGAAGTAATAAAAAAAATCACTAAAGCCAAAAGCTTTTTGAGAAAATCAACACATAAATATTAAGTCAAATTGGTAAGAAAAATAAGACACCAATTACTAATATCAAGAATTAAAGAGGGAATGTCATCATAAATTCTATAGATATTAAAGATAATAAGGGAAGATTCTTCAACAAATGCTGCTGGCAAAGTTGGATTGCCACATGCAGAAAAATGAAGTAAGATCCATACCACACATTATACACAAAAACTATTTCAAAATGGATCAAGCACCTAAATGTGAAATCTAAAACCATAAATTTCACAGAAGAACATACAGGAGCAAAGCTTTGGGACCTAGTTTTTTAAAATGATTATCAAACACAACAATACACGAGCAACAGAAAAAATAGATAACTGGGACCTCATAAAAGTTAAATACTTATGTTCATCAAAAGACTTTATCAAAAGAGTAAAGAGACAACCTACAGACTGGGAAAAAACCTTTGGGAGTGATATAACTGAAAACAGTCTAACATCTAAAATATATAGAAAACTTCTACAGTTTACCAACAAAAAGAAGAATAACCCAAGCAAAGGACATGAACAGAAACTTCACCAAAGAGGGTATTCAGATGGCCAAAAGACGTGATGTTCAACGTTATTAGCTGTCAAAGAAATGCAAATTAAAACCACAATGAGATACCATTTCACTCCCACTAGGACAGCTAAGATTTTTTAAAAAAGGAAAATAAGTTTTGGAGGGGATGTGGAGAAATTAGAACTCTCATCCACTGCTGGTGGGAATGCAAAATGGTACCCACTGGGGAAAACAGTCTGGCCGTTCCTCAAAATACCATAGAGATCTAATAGAAGTGACACAAACAGACATATGCCACCTATGCTCACTGCAGCACTATTCACAATAGCAAAAAGATGGAAACAACATTGAATTGTGTCCCCCAAAAATATCTGTCAACTTGGCTGGGTCATGATTCCCAGTATTGTATGATTGTGTACCATTCTGTAATCTGATGTGATTTCCTTGTGTGTTGTAAATGCAATTACTACGATCTAATAAGATGGATTAGTGGCTGTTATACTGATGAGGTTTACAAGATTGGATAGTGTCTTAAGCCAATCTCTTTTGAGATACAAAAGAGAGAAGCGAGCAGAGACACATGGGAGCCTCATACCACCAAGAAAGCAGTGTTGGGAGCAGAGTGCATCCTTTGGACCTGAGGTTCCTGCGCAGAGATGCTCCCAGACCAAGGGAGGACTGACGCACCACAAGGACCTTCCTCTGGAGCCGACAGAGACAGAAAGCCTTCCCCTGGAGCTGATGCCCTGAATTTGGACTTGTAGCCTACTGAACTGTGAGATAATAAGTTCTCTTTGTTAAAGCCATGCACTTGTGGTATTTCTGTTATAGCAGCACTAGATGACTAAGACAACAACCTAAGGCACCCATCAATGGATGAATGGATAAGTGAAATGTAGTACATACATACAATGGAATACTA